GAACCAAAAAAGTAACTGATGGTTCGGATTTCTTAAAAGGTGTTTTAGAACGCACTTCAAGGCCGCTTCCATAAGGAAAGAAACAAAAATGCGAAACCTGAAAATGTGACTTACAAACTGCTTGCATTTGAATATTTGAAACCGGGACAATGGCAGCAACAGGGGCAGCTGCTGCAAGTTTATCATTCATGACAGTTTGGCTGAGCTGCGGTTAGCTCGCTCAATAATGACACATAACACAGAACAGAAAACTAAACAGTGGCTTAAATTGTGTGTGCGCTGTGGAGGTTCCTCTTCACTGAAATCTCAAACCCAAAGTGTTTGAAATGAGCCAAAGCACAAAACATGCAGCATCTTGAGCTACTATTTGTGATACATGTTTCATGGCAACAGTAATCCAGAAGCAATCTGATGTGAGCAGCAATTCAGGATTCAGCCTGTTGGTTTACTTTGCTATGAATGTCGGTTATTGTTCTCATAGTTATTTGAAATGTAAAAAAAACTACATGTCTGAGAGAAGAATGAGAATAAATACTTCATTGTAAACCTTTTCCTACTTTCCAGACAGTCCTTGCTTTAGATTAATTTGAGTGTGGTTTCAAAATCAGTGTGCAGGGATTTAAACACAGTTGGAATGGGGCTATAAAAATGTTATCTGTCACTGTCAATATCTGCTTTTATTGATAGATTTGAAGCCCGTTATTGTCAACAATTTGCTGATATGCTGATAATAGATGCAGATGAGACATTGATTAGGATGGATGGCACCCTACTCAGGTCTTTGAGGTGTTTGAAATTGGATTTTAATGGCTTCCTAATACACTGAAATATGTCTACTATTGCTCAAAATCAACATAATGCCATGGAAAGCCATCATTAGTTATGTTTCATTTGGGGTTTTATAGTAGTATCCTTACACCCAGAAATAAATGTTGATCTCCTTGTGAGAAAAAGTCTATGGGGTCATATTAGACCAAAGCTGCTTTTTTATTTAAATTAAAGTTTTGGATCTAAACGGAGACTTGGCATGTTTACAGGATGCAGCAGCTGTAGCACAGATTTCAGGATCATGTGAACTGCTGCAGGGACCTGGTGGCAGCAGAAGGAGAAAACAAACAGAAGCTGAGCAGCATTAGTGTAAGTTGAGGGGGAGGCCTTGGTTTAGCAGAGATTGTTTTGTTTCTAGATGGGCTGGATTGCAAATGTCAGTCACACAATGGGTAGAATATCCCCGTAACAGCTTTAAATGCAAGTTTTGGACTCCTTCACCATAGTGCTGTGTATTCGACTTGTCAAATACTAATAACTGCGCCACACTCATGAAGCCTTTGTTTACATTTGTTAATGTTGCTTCCTCCTTTATGCAGTTGTGTCAGCAAATACCGTTTCAGTCTGGTCTTCTTGTTGCTTGAAAAGATTTCCTCCATAGCCCACTATGGTGAAACTTCAGCCACGGCCACATTAACCTCTTACAGGGCCCAAGGGTAGAAATTATGCTGTCGGGCCCCCAACGCAGAATGCTGTTTGGGTAGCTTTATCATGTGATCAGAGACACTGGGATGGACCTGTACTACTGTGGAACATCACCTGCAACATTTTCAGTAGAATTTGACTAATTAAATTCAGCTTTATAAAAGAATGAGCACCATCTCATAAAGGATAATGCACTGCAGTGGAAAAAATTCACAACTATGACTGATAATCTGCTTCTTTGTAATGATGTCGACTAGTGTGTGTATGTGAGGTGGGGTGTATTTTAAAGCTTTTTCATAAACAACTAGTATTTTTTATTTAATATCACTGTAGATTTTATAATAAAACTACTAATAAAGCTTTGCTTACAAATTAAACTTAGATTTTCTTGTGTTTATTTGTTTCCATGTTAGCATCGGCTTTAAGGCTTTAGCCATTTTAAAAGCTTAGCTACGAGTTATCATGCCACTGTTCAGAAACAGTCCTTGAAATCGTTTTGAAATCCAGCAGAATTTCTTTGTGATACTGGAGTCCTTTTGCTATATTCTGCGGTGGTCTCAAGTTGCTGGGCTTCCACTAAGGTTTTATTTAGGTATTTTCCACCCCACCCCCTCCATCTGATTTGCAGAAAACCATTAAAAACTGCTAGCATTTCTTTTTCTTTTTTGTGGGGTTCAAAGGATGCCTTTAAATGTCTTGTTTTCTTCAGCAACCAGAGAGATGCACTTAATCTTCACAAATGAGGAACAGCAGTCAGTTGGATTGTTTTTTGTAATTCTTCACAATTATTATCAATATAGTTGATCAATTAATGTCTTGTCTAACATTTTCTGTGTCTTTTCTTTTATTACATCTGGTCTGTGTTTTAACTCTGTAATGTGGGTAAAAGAAGGGGCTCAAAATGGGATAAAACACCATTATCATTATTTATTGCTGGCTCGGTTGCAGTAGTCACACTTGCTTTCTTGTGTGTCCCATTTCCCTGTTTGTGTAGTCTGCAGAATGCAATGTGGGAATTTAGCAGAACTCACTCAAGTATATTTCGAGCACTGGGGGAGAAATAGTATGCAGTTAACAGGATATTCAAAAAAATATGTGGTCATTGTATATAAGGAAAGACGATTTTAAATGCTTTATCTCATAAGTGATGACCTATTATTTTATTAATCCCGCACCAGGTGTAGTTTGTTTGTATCTGGATGGATGTCTGGTCATGAAATGTTGGCTAGATTTAGTTGCAGAATTTGGAGAAGTGAAAATAAGTGTTGGTTATGTGCTGTGAATGTGTTGGAGTTTTTCCCAAGTGGGGCACACCTCCGTGGAACCTGTAGACCCAAACGTGCAGAAAGTACCGGTGATACAGTGAACATACACCTGGTTTACTTTTTATTCTATTCTATTATATTTTATTATATTCTTGTATCTCCAACAATTCAGGAGCAGTGGGGATTTCCTCAACAGAGATACTTTAGTTCAAATATTTACCGGCTATAATGCAGCGTGTTGAACTTTGCCCTCCAGGTTCGGGCGCATTCACGTCTTTATTTTCGACTGGAAACGGGTATTATGGGAAAGGTTTACGACGGCCTGCGCGCTTTGTTTTTGTTACGAATCACCGTGAGTCTTTGGCTGCGCTTTGTCCTCTCGTCAAACATTTCTAAATCAAAGCGGATGGCTGCAATTACACCCGGTGCGCATGCCCGTCTTAAGTAAATGTTCCGTGCGTCCGTGCGCTCAGGCGCGCCCTAGGAAAGAATTTGCAGCCGGGCACGCGGTTGATATGACTGTTGTGACTTGTTGTGAATAGTGAAATCTCAATGACAAAAGAGCGTCAGCAAGGCCACGGCAGAAGGTTAGAGAAATAAAAACTGTAATAAAAATGTGCAATAGTCCTTTAAAGGAACATAACCTCATATCTAATCGGATCTGGAGAGCCATCCAAGAGCCACAAACTCACCCCATGTTGATATTTCATTTTAAATGAACAAAACGACTTTAAAAAGAGGGAAGATCTCCACAAACGGTCATGTGCTGAGAGTGCAGGTAAGATTATGTCAAGATACAATTATGACGAAGTTGTGGAAGAATAATATGAAGCCCCCTTAGAAGACATAATTCATTCACACCTACTTAACACGAGCTTGAGTCACACTGCATTTTATGCTCATTAAATTACATAGACACCTTCATTTTACACGAAGTATCGAGAATAATAACCACAGAATCAAGGTAAACTTACAGTTGAGAATGGGAAACAGAGAATTTGATACAAAATGTCAGAAGGTGAGTATTACCTTAAGGAAATTGCTGTGTGGACCGTGTAACTAAAAAGTATAAAAAGTATTAGTATTAGTTAAAAATTATTTTCAGTTTACATTGGAGTTTGCTGTCTTATTGAGATATGTATATATAAATCATTTCTTTTCACTATCCAGTTGTTTATTAAAGTGTTGCCTCTAATCCAATATCCTCTAAGACCCAGCGCTATCAGTTAAAGCACACACTGGTGGCTGCTCCAGCAGCGCACTAATATCAGTCTAATGGTGAGTAATATAGATATGGGGATTTCTGCAGGTGTCAGAAAACAAGATAGGGTATTGACTGAAATCATTTTGTGTGCACGGGCTTGTCGCCAGTTGCATTTTTTCCTCCCCCCGGAGGTGCAAATAAAAGATAGCCCACAAAATATCCATGTAGATGTAATTAGATAAAATGTTCCCTCCAGGTGTGTTTGAAGATGTTTTTACTTATTTATTTTGTGAAATCTGCTCAGTGTATTCAGCATTTTTCGCCCCCTTCCAGAAAGTTTAACTGCCGTGTTTGTCAGTCCTTAATGTTCCTGAATGCGCACTCCAGGTTTCCACACACGCTGGTGGAACTCTTAATAAGCTGCTCAGGTTTCAGGTGATCTGAAATCATCCTTTTAGTGGGACATAATCTCCGTCCTTTAGTACGCAGACAGAAATAGCTCTGTGTTGCAGCAGAATAGCCAGGTTTGAATGAGCCCCCAATATAATCTTCTGTATAGGGAGTGAAGGGAACAGAAGGGAACAAAAGTCGAGTAAAATTAACCATAAATCTATTACTGGAAAATCCAGTGAGCGCTGAGATGTGTTCATTAACACGATAACCAAATAATAATGAGAGCAGTTCATAGAAATGTAGCTGCTGAGGTCCCAAAGTTGGGTCAGGTGGATTTATCTACCCACCCTCCTCTGAAATAAAAATTATATTAAAGGAGCTTCAAAAAACAAAAAAACAAACAAAAAACAAAAAACAAACAAACAAACACATAAAATCAAATATTATAGTTAAAGCTCGGACTGATTCCACTTTGTCGAAATAACCGCAAAGGATTCTTCATCTTTCTAAGGTAATTCCCCTTCCCTTAAACTAAGTGGACCACTACGCTGGGGATATTTAGCCAACCTATTTATTTTTCTCATGTTTTGAGGGGGGAAACCCGGAGCCCGAGTGCTTGTCTCCTTAAACAAAGACCTCTCTAAGACATGTACTTGAAATAAACCTCTCTTTTCCTGGAGTTTATTCAAACAAACATGTTACCATAAACACATGAGGACTTTGAATCACCTTTTGTATACAGTTTAGGCTAATGAACGTACTTCTGCAAAGTCTTACATTATTGTACAAAACACGTTGCACTCAAGTTAAACATGCAGGGTCTCTCTCTCACTCTCTCTCTCTTTTTTTCTATTGGAGCAAACAAAATGAAAAGCATTTCAAACGGGAGGCGTCGTGGAGTCACCCTGCATATGCGGTAAATAGAAAGCACACAGAAGCAGTATAAAGTATGTACAGTAAAGGCCGGATTTTCTTCTGTTTTCTCATTGATTCGTTACATGCTCGATTTTTTGTTTTGTTATTATTATTATTTTGATGCAAATCCTCGCTTTGGTCGAGTCAGTCTTCAAGAGTAAGCAAGCACAAAAAAGAAAAAAAAAATCCCACCGTCTGTTTCACATGTTAGACCTGTATATATTTACATTTAGATATGTACAGTGCAGCCATGTAACACGTCTTCATCATTTAAAAAAAAAAAAATTCCATAAAACCTGGACATTTAAACTGCTGTGCAAGTTCACTGGTAAACACATGTAACCCGCATTATCCACGTTTTCTTTTTCATTTTCTTTTTCGAAAGAAAAAAAAAAGATTGCAACTAATCCAGTTTAGTCGTCTTTGATACCCCCCCTCCCCTGATCCGCAGGTAGCCCATAAGCTATGACACCGTGTCCGCTTATCACATATTTATATATATATATATATATATATTTGTATTTTTAAGGCCCCCTTTTTGGCCCGTCAGCTGTTGTATTGACAGGCGTTCAGGCTGGAGCCCGGGCTCTGCAGGCCGCTGTATCCAAATGTTGGATGCTGTTTGGATTTAAGTCTGAGAGAGGCCAAGCTGGAGTTGCAAGTGTCCCGGTAAACGCTGTACGGTGAGCCGGGAGGCCCGTAAGGACAAGCCGATGATGACATAGCTGAGTTGATGCCGGATGTCCCGATCCCATTCAGGTTGCTGATGTTGTTAAGACCTGGCGTGGGCATGCCGGGCACCGCGGAGTGGCCCATCCCGGAGGCCATGGTCATGGAGGAGATGGAGTTGGGGGCCGAGAACATGGACTGCGAGGTGAGGGGACTCATGGAGTTGAAGAAGGTGAAGTTCTTGGTGGACAGCGGTGCCGGAGTGAGGCCCTTGTTGGTCCAGTTGTTGTAGGTATAAGCCGGGTACATGTCGTCGTAAGGCTGCATGAGACCGCTGAACTGGGGCAGGTAGCTGTTCTTGCAAAGGTCCATCTGCTGGTTCCGCTCCCGCTTCCTCCACTTAGCCCGGCGGTTTTTGAACCACACCTGGAAGGGACACACAGAAACGTGAGCATTAACCACAGCAGAACGCTGTAAAATGTAACATTAATTTTCTTGTCATAAAATAAACCTGCAACGTTGCTACAGATGATACAGGAATGATTCGAGTCCACACCCGAAGCAGCATTTCAAGCTCGTGTGATATTCAGTTCATGAAGCATAAGTGTAATTTTCTTTTCTAAAAAAGGACACTAATGATCATTTATTGATGTCTGAATCATTTATTTCCACATATATTGCGGCAACAAGCTTCACACCCCGCTTTGGTGCCCTTAAATTGTTGCCTTTAAGGTGAGTTAGAGTCTAGGGTGCCTTAAAACGTTTCATTGAAAGGAAACAAACAACAAAAAAAAAAAAAAACAACAAAAAACCATTACAGAATAAAGGCATTTTTAACTAAATGATCTTTGAATTTTAATTGTTGATGAGTTAAAATCTTTTATAGGCCCACAGCCATATTCAGCAGTTTCAGCTGCGGTCCCATTTTCAATGTTCTCAGATGTCAAATATCAACAACTGCTTTTAAATTTATGATTAGTTACGAAACACGCACTTTTTTTGTTTTTTAAAAATACCAAAGCAGTTACTTACTTTTGCTTATTAAAATCAATCCGGACATGAAAAAGAAAGGATCCTTTTTTGAGTGAAACGCATATTCAGAGTTTCCATACCCGAGTCGACAAACTAGCCTTGGAGTCAGGGGGAGCAGTTTCTGCTGACGAGCTACAACCCGGTCAAATAAATACAAAATCAGCGAGACTGAATGAGTGGACATCCTTTAAGTTCATGTGGACGACGACTGCGGGATGTATTAATCCTAATCAGTGGACTGATGTTAGAAATTCGTTTTGGTTATATTCATATAGACTATACAATATATTCGACACTCTCTTTACAAATGTAATTTTTCCTTCCTGTAAATAAACTAGCAAATACATTAAATCGTTTATGAAAACTGTTTCCAGGTGTTTTGATATTATACATATTAGTATAAGACTACCACACACTTGTACATCACAACGAGAATGTGTGTTTACACCAGATCTAAGATGGAGGTGCATTAATGTAGATTTTTTTGGCCTCATTTCTTACAATGAAATAAGAAGTATTTCTAAAGATAAATCAGTGTAAATAAAAGGCGTGTGTGTGTCTGTGTAAGTCAGACGTAAAACCAGGTTCACAGAGCAACTCGAACGGCTCCGCGGATGACTCGAAATGAAACAGAAAAGCGCTTCTGGATATCCTCACACCTTATCAAAACCTAACAAAATACTAGTCGGTACTCTCCAATTCATTGTTAATTCATAGTAGAAACAATTTACAACTGGTATCACCAGACGGCCTCGCGGAAGCTATTTATAGTGGTGCGGGAACACTGTGCGGCCGACAAATTGTCCACAAAGACTTGAGCGATGTGACAGAGAGCTGTGGAGGAAACACTCAAGACTGCAGAGCCCAGCCTCGAGTTTCCTGCACCCAGCTATAAAATGCATGCTTTGGATTTTAATGACATTTGCACGACGAAAACCACGTTAAGAATATGAGTATAATGACTGACGTGTCAAAGTGTGCTTATAAATATTATGAAATTATATTTAAAATCATAATTGCATCTTATTTAATGTAAATTGATCTTTAAAATATTTCCAATTTTTTCAAATTTTACTGAATCTCAAATATTCAGCGTACCATCACCCCCCCCCCCTTTTTTTAAATCCTAATATATATTTTTTTTATATTCCTAATGAAAAAGGGGAACGAAAGAAAAAAAATAGTCACTGTTTAAATCTGAACCTGCTCGTGACAGCAGTGAGTTTCTTGGCTCAAAAAGCATAAAAAGCAACTTATTTTCATTTTACACCTCAAACTGAAGATATTATAAGAACTGTGCTGATTCAAATATTATATTATTATTGTTATGATTCATTTTTACTCAAAACAGTTTAAAAATGTAGCTAGAACAAATATAATACATGTAAGTCATATTCTTTAAAAAGCCATCTATATATATATATATACACGGAGAGACGTGAACGCTCTCCTCCGTGGAGAAAAAAAAACAAGGGTCCAGATTTTCGATGATGTCATCAAAATGCGAATCATCCATTGGCTACATTAGCAGATACACCCTTTGAAAGGACCTGCAATTTCCAACGGATTCAACTACTCCCCCCCCCCTTACTTTCTTTTTAAAGCTTTCCTTTCTTCTAAGTTTTCAGCATGAGACGTGTTAACATGACTGCGTGCCATTAAGGCCTGTAACGTCCTCTGTGCCAGTATTGGGAATTGTGCACGTGCTGTAATAACGGTAGATTTACTTTTGGATGCACCGTAGCTGACAGCTGACAGTCAGGGATGACTGCAACTTAATATGTTAACAATATTCTGCTGAAAACCTCCGAGGTCTTTGGAGACGGATTTTCGTAAGCGTGTATTTGAAATGTATCACAGATTTAGTTTATTACTTCTGATCCGTTTAAAGTCACCAAAGTCTGTATGTGACATGGACTCCGTTAAAAATAGGAATAGTGACTAACGCATGAATTCAGAACCTTCAGGGAAATGTACTGACTTTAATATACATCTGATTTCTCGCTGTACTGACAAACAGCATAAATGAGTCTGTGACATCCTTATTTTAAAATTTCTACAAAGTTCTGTTTTTGTTTTTGTTTTTTAATACTTGAAATTGGGTAAAAAGTCTTGTGCAACCAAGTTCAAAAGTTGCATATTTTGACAATTTAAAAAATATATAATTTTAAGTTATTAAAAAATATCTTCTTCATTTTCTTATAATTTTTTATTTGTTTTGGAAGTTTAATAATTGCTGTTTTTGATGAGCGTCTACTTGGCCAGCTTGTCTTTATTCAAACTTTTCATATGGTTTACGCACGGCCGCTATCTTACCCGGACTCTCGCCTCGGTCAGGTTGGTCCATACCGCGATCTCCTCCCTGGTGCTCATGTCAGGGTAGCGATTCCTCTGGAACGTGGCTTCCAGCTCTTGCAGCTGCTGGCTGGTGAAGTGAGTCCGCTGCCGCCGCTGTTTTTTCTTCTTGGGGTCGTCCGCGTTGCCGTCATCGCTCCTGTGTTCAGCGTTTCTTTCCTTTTCTGTGGGTGACAAACCGGTGTGAAACAGCAGTACTCCTATAACATATTTTGAATGGCAAGCAAATAAGGGACGTTTAAACAATGAAGAAGTTGGTGTGTGTACGTCGACAGTTCAATATTTCCCACGAGGATTGAGTACAACAACGTGGATTTTTTTTTTAAGTAAAGCAATTGAAAAAGACCCACCGCGATGAAACCAACCATTTTGGCTAATTTATTTACGAAGTCATTCATAAAAAAGAAACCTCAAAAGAACAGAAACAAATTAGTCACACATTCACAAACGTGTGTCAGAGTTAGCCATCGGATCGCTCCGGTTTTCGCTTAGAGATCAATATCTTTACGATGAGGTCTGCCCACTCTTATCTCCCAACTGTCTTGTATTTTGTGTCCTAACAATTGCCTCGTTAAACTTAAGAGGCCACACGCGCAAAGGTCAGTCACACACACACACACACACTCGCACACACAGAAAGGGAGCTAGGATTTTGAGAGTTTCCTAAAAACAAAAAAAAAGCTTAAAATCACGACTCAAGATTGTTATTTAAAACGATTTACTGTCGTGACTGATAGCTAAAAAAATAGAACTAACTGACCTTGGTGTATTTTCTATTTGCTTCTCGTGCGCCCTGAAATACGCGAAGAAAGGCCAGAAAGGCCTCTGTTTTTTCCCCCTAAAATTTTGGAAAAGCTGAATAATAAAAAGTGTCTCCGGGAACTGTCAACACAGACCGCTTGGTTTTTAGTTTAGATTTGTGGATAGCTCCAATATTTATAGTTTGCTCTAATGCATTCACTGACAGCAGGCCAGGCTGCTCTGCACATTTTTCCCTGACACATCTCGGGTTCCTGCCAAATGTTTGGTTCTGGGAGCACAGTAAACAAAAAATGGGGAGTAACTGCACAAAAAGCGCTCACAAACACAAACACACTCAAATACTAAGATTTGATGGAAACACACTTTAGAGTTTGTCGTTTTCGTGCACGCTGCCCGGTGACACACGGAAATAAATCAAGCAAACACAAGGGATAGAAAAGTTAAATATTCTTTCTCTTTGTTCTGTAGCTTTTAAGTGCTGGAGATGCCTCTCTGACAGTTCGCCGTAAAAATGCTTACGGACACGTAAAATAAACTGTTACAGCACTCAGTGGGAAAAAGAATGGAGAGGCTAAAAGCACTCTGACTGTGTACCTGCCAACTCTGTGTCTGAAGACTCGCTGCTTGAGTTCTCTACAGTTTCTCGACTGCTGTTTGAAGTTCTCTGTAAATGAAACGCGGGGGCCACGTCGCGGGGCGGCGGTGCTCTCACTGCCTCTGCAATTCTGTCCAAATTCATCCCACCTTGAAGAGAAGGGTGCGTAAAAAGAGGAAACGGGGTGAATCCTGTGGATCGCGAGGCTTTCTTTCAGAGCTACGCTACAAAACATCCACCCGCTCTCAGACACACACCACGACATGGGATATTTAACCATGCAGGTTCGTTTGTTCTTCCACGCAAAACGTGCTTCGAGAGAATAGAAGAAAGAAAGGACAAAAAAATCACACGGCCCCGTTCCCCTCCTCTGAAGCAGTGACAGCCCTGTGCGCTCTCCTTCTATCCGCAGCAAGGAAAAGCTTCCACCCGCTGTGACTGAGAACAAGCTCCGGCTCTCCAACCCTCACATCAGACCCACCCATTAGCTGCGTTAAACCTCCCCAAAACAAGTCCCACCCACTAAACGTGACCGCTGCAAGAAAATACCCACCCAGACAAAGTCTGACGTCGCGCTTAACAAAGTGAAAAGGTGCATTTAATTAATTTTAGATTTATTAGACGTATATGTCGCATTTAGATCAGAAAATTTCTTCCAGTGTGAGTGGAGCGAAACTAAAAGAGGTGACTCATCTGCTAAACACTCCTAACAAAAAACCTGCCACGGTGGCTGTCTGCTCATTTGTTAGTCTTAAGGCTAGTTATTGTTATTACTTTGTATTTTATTTCATTTTATTATTTTTTGCAGTGTACGCTTTGTCAATTATCGAGAGCGCACAAAGCGAAGCTTTGCTTTCAGGAGTAAAAAAGGGGCCTTTTATTCGCGCAGGCATGTTTGAAATGTGTCCAGAGCAATGCAGCTGGGCGCGCTTATACACACACGCTCGGCCACACAATGTATATCTCGGATATGTACCGAGCTGAATAAACATTTGCCATCCAACACGGTCCTGCCCAGTTACTGTGTCTCCAGTATGAAAAGTGCTCGATGATATCAGGCTCGTTGTGTGCGTGAATACGAGCGCTGTAACCTGACAAGAGTCGCTCTGTCAGCTCGCTCATTCACAAAGAGACAATCGGGAGTAATACACGGAACATTACATCTCTCATTATTTAACAGGATGTGTTTGTCCGTGCTGTTTTTTTGTGCACCACATCGTTTGAACCACATCAGTCAAAGAATAAGTAATCTATCAGCAGCAGCAGCAGATCGGTCTGCCCTGCACTTTGCCTAAACAGCCACCACCTCACCACTTCAGACATTACTGATATAATATATTTAAACTCCAACAACATGCACTCAGAATCCAACCGCTATAGATCCCAGCCTTTCAGTGACAACCGCAATATGACAAATGGACCGCTGCGAATGATGACACATTTGACTTTTGTGCGTTTTGTTGGCTCTGACGCGCAAACAGCAGCAAGCAGTGGCTTGATAAAGGAGCCCCAACATCACCAGAACATAACGTCTTTGTATCCATTAGCAGTGCTAATTCAAACCAACCTCATCCCGCTAAAGATGGAAAACAAGTAAGATTAAATTAGATGCTACAGGGATTATAATCTGACATTCAGGTATGCGCAGTACTCGTGGTGCTTTAGAGCTACGTGAACTGTAATGTGTCTGTGTGCAAAACTGAAGAGCTGAGTTGCTGATCGTAGTCTGTGTTGCACTGGCTATTTTCTTGTCTTTCTTTGAGGAATGCACAGATGCAGGTTAGATAATATTTAAAGTTTTACCCAAGCGCGGGGCTCTTATATAGGATGGCAGAAATAGAGTCCATGTAACTTTTGCATGAGAAAAGCTCTGCAGGCATTCTGCCACAGACTCGCCAAGAAGTCTCTGTTTTAACCCAAACCATGAGCTTTTCATCCACCAAACCAAGTATTTCGTTCCCTAACCAAATTGCGCATGAAAGCTGAAAATAATGTAAAAGAAAAGAAGGCCAGCGTAAAAAGCATTTGTTTCAGACCACTATGAGTAACCCTTTACATTAAAGTAAAATGTAAAGGCCTTTACTCGTGTAACTGGAATCTGTGGGCAAAAGTCTCCATTTAGCATTAGGATTTGAGTCATTAGACGCACAGAGTGTATAAATCACATTTCTTATTTGAAAGTTTGAGTTTGTATTTGAGATAAATATATTTTCTATTTAAATGTGATGTGCCTGTAGGTGTTTTGTTATAATATGACAAACACTTACGGGCAATAATAATTTATTGAGTTAAATCACCTCTGAGTGACCAGAAATCACAAGTTTACTGAATGTAAAGAGTTCCAGATTTCTCTTTCTAAGCTGATTAAAGATCAGTATAATTTGGCCACATCTGCGATATGAGACCAGCTGACCTGCTGGCTTGCTCGGCCAGTCTGCTACCTCCTTCAGGTAGAGTCGCACATCAGGCCTCAGCGTCTCAGGCTGACAGACAGTCAGACTGTCGCAGGCGCCAGGGTCGAAGACTTTCGGCCATTGTATGAGCGTATGACTTTTGACACGAGATCCTCGTTTTGTTCAAAACGCCCCCGAAGGGTTTTTTTTTTTTTGGCAGAGAATTGTGTTAGCTCTCAAAAATCACCTGCCGTGTTCATCAATATTTGCTCAGCCTTTCTGCACAGAGAGAGTGGCACGTGTTTTCATAGACATCTACACTGAATGCACTCAAGAAATTTGAATACAGCGAAACTCATCAACGAACTTTTAAAATTTTTAGTGCACAGTGTGTAACTGTTGTATTACTATGGCATAAGTATTTGACTAGCTAATATGAATGCGTCACCTTAACCTACTGAGGATCACAGTCAACAAGTTTACCGCCGCAGCTTACCGAAGTGCTTTTGGGCACGACACCAGCATCGCCTACCTGCTTACTCATATTCCAAGATGGTTAAATGGTTTGGACACAATATTTGAAAACAACAAAAGTTCATCTGCATCTAAACTCTGGAGTAAGAAAGCAGAAAAGGCGTTGATGAGGTGAACTCGAGGACCTCGTGACCAGCAGGTGGTCTTTACTATTCAGGTTGCGAAGGTTGGGTGAAAGAGACTACCTGTTGGTAGCTGGTAGGGTTTAGTGGGAGATAGTCTATCAATGAAGTGCTCAAAGCTCTAGCTTGTTTCAAGATTGCAGCGGACTCCTGAAAAACTAAAATCAGCCTAGAAAAAAGTCTTATGTGCCATAAAGTATTAGCAAAAGCAAAAGCAGCGGTAAAAAATAACAATAAACCCAGTGACTCTTGAGGTCAATATTATGGGATTTACAGCACAAAGAGATTCGCCATGGCGGAGCTCTTGTGAATTCTACTTTGTTCTGTCCACATGTTCCTGGCTGATAGATGGGGGTAATCTAAATACCCAGCCTCCTCAGCCTCCATCTATGCCCGCGTCCCGCTCCTCCAGCACTCTGGAGGGCACTTGCGTGTGATGGATGAGTTAAAAAGCCTTTCCATCCGGCAGGACAGGTTAAAGGCCAGTGGCTAAGCAAACACTCATATTTCCCCCCCAAGAAGTGAAAATAAACTCGGCGAACGCCGTGAATCACACACAAAAATACAGTCTTGGTTTATTTTTCTCTCCAGGGAAAGCGAGCACAGTAAAGCTAACCACAGGACCGAAAAAACAAAGCATATAGAAAATTAAAGCTGGCGAGCTGATTCAAGAGCAAGACAGCAGCGGAGATGTAACTGGACACGGTGCGTAACTGGAGAAGGACAGAGCTGATTATTGCCTTGGTGATGGTTTCCCTGCTTGGTCCAAGGCCTGTTTGACCTGAGGTCTGACAACCAATAAACAGCCTGTGCAGGGAATGCAGGTGTAAATAAAACAACGTCTAATAACCAGCACAGGGAAACACCCATAGGACAAATCCACTAAACTGCAAGAATATGTAAAATTTCCTTTTAAACCCCTTCATTCGTTGTTAAACCAGAGCCAGTCCGCCACACGTTCGGTCGTTTCTTTTAGTTTTACATACACGCGGTGTTGATATTTGAAAAGAGAGTGGTTCTTAATATGTGAAAACATAAAAATATACATATACTGCCTTTTAGGGTGAAACTTGATTGCTACTGCATATTATTATTTCCTCGGGGAACGTTTTGTGAAAGGTTGCACACGATGTTTCATTTAAATTTCCCCCAAACCTCGAAATTATTCCTACTTTTTTACGTATCTTTTTAACGAATGGGGGATTCTTGGTTTTTTGTTGTGATTAAATCCAGAAAAGACTGATTGGTTTATTTTTATGTGAGCTACGACTACTGGATCTGAAGAAAAAAATTAAATGAAATATTTTCCACTGAACAGATTGGCATGTTTATGTGTCGTTTGTAGCATCTGGCTTGATGTTGCTTCGTTTTTCCTTTTGTTTTTAGTGTTTAAAAGATAAATGGTTGGGATTTATCACCAGAAAGATGAAAAAAGTTCATTGTTTGTATATGTACTTATTTATCTATTGCCGATGCCAATTTCACAGAGCTCCATAATCATTTTGCAGCTAATGAATCACAATATCCATTCTCTTCCGGTTATGCAATTGGGGGTCGCGGTCGGGCTGGAGCCTATACCAGCTGTCATAGAGCGAGAGGCGGGGTACACCCTGGACACGTCTCCAGTTTATCGCAAGGGTAACACAGAGATACAGACAACCACTCACTCTAGACTTGTACTTCACAATCAGCAGTCATCCTAACATCCTTGCGTTTGGACTGTGGGAGGAATCCGAGACCCACAGAGACACGGAGCGAACATGCAAACTCGACACAAAAACGCCTCAGCCGGATTCTAACCCAGTCCTAACCACCACCACACCACCGTGGATCTGAATATATATATGGATATTTTGAAAAGTCAAACATAATCAACATGTTAAACTGAGCACAGAAAAATGTCATACCAGATTCCCCACAAGAAATCACATTCTTCGACAGATTCAGTTCCATTCCAGTTGCCTGAAAAACACAAAAAAACCCAATTAAATCAAACTTTCTCCTCCAAATAAAAAAATAAAATAAAAATCAAAGAGGCTAAACACACCTATTCTCATTAAACCACATCATATTATAGTTACCATTACAATGTTGTTGTTTTTTTAATATTGAATAAATGAAAGTTTGTTTAAAAAACAAGTCAGAGCAGGCTGTGTCACAATCCTACAACAGCAAGTTTAATTCTTTCTGGACCCTGGTCTCATATATTTGTATTAAAATTGATTGTGAGAAGAAACATGCAAGACAATTAAGGACAATAGCAAAATTAATAAACTGATTAATACAACTTAAAAAAAATAACGCGAATTTTGTGGTAATATTTATTCGTTTTTAAAGAAAGGATTTTCATGTTTTCGGCTCGCAGAATGAGA